GTGTGTCATTTTTTATTTAGCCTAGATACGTGAGACTTGTATGAGTGTGCAAAATTCCTTTACTCATAATAAAAAATTTAAAAATTTTATGAGTTAAATAACATAGAAAGATAATGATATAGGGAATATGCTGATGATCGTCTGGGGTCGCATGCATATCAATGCATTCTTCATTCCTTATTTTAAGGCACTTCCCCATCTACGGGTAGAGTTCAGATAATCCGACCTATGAGGATGAGGTGCTGAACCTAGGGAAGCCTAATCTTCTAAAAAAATTATTTTTAAACCTTTTTAAAATTTCAATCATTCATGATTTATGTATTTTGACCAGCATGTATTATATTAGAAATATATTTAAAAGAGTATAAATTTTAATTTTATTTGTATCTAGCATTTTCACCCAACATAAGTCAAGTGGCCACTTAGGATAATCTCTAGATGTCTGCCCTAACTCTCCAAAACTTTAATAAAAATGTCCCTACCACTCTTTCATAAAATGACCAGATTCATGGATTTAAAATCGACTAGGTGGTTAGCTGGCTGCCCAATCCAAGCTATGGTAAGTCTAAATTTTGCATTGCATTAGTTAGGTTTGAGTCACCATTATATGGAGCCCAATTCAAATTTAAGATCTTGGGTGGATTTTGAATCATAAGACCCCAACCTCCATGAATGTAATATCAAATTTCTAATAAAACACTCAACTTAAATTAAATCTTTTTTCAATCCAAAACTTAAAGCCCAACACTTAGATCAGGTTGGGACACTTCTAGATTATTCTAAAATATCAAAGTGTCCCCTACTCTTCTTCCCTTGACTCTAAAAATAAGTAATCCAATTTGATCCATTCCCACTTGAAATTCTAAAATTCACTTCCTTTGATATCAATCCTAAAAAATCTTTTTAAAAAATTTCATCATTATTTTAATCGAGAGTATTCATAGGAAATTTCTAATTTCTTATGATGTAATTAACTACAAGGGCTTATGCTCATAGGAGATTTAGAACGCACATCCACCTTTTTTAAAAAATCAATTTTCAAAACTCAAAAATAATCTTCTTTGAGAAAATCAAGTCGATAATGATCATAATCGTCATGTTTCATCGATCAATATTAAGTGATATTTTCTCTCATCGGAGAAACATATCATTTGTTATTGAGATATGTAATATGAAATTAATAATCACACTTCTAGATTATTCTAAAATATCAAAGTGTCCCCTACTCTTCTTCCCTTGACTCTAAAAATAAGTATTCCAATTTGATCCATTCCCACTTGAAATTCTAAAATTCACTTCCTTTGATATCAATACTAAAAAATCTTTAAAAAAAATTTCATCATTATTTTAATCGAGAGTATTCGTAGGAAATTCTAATTTCTTATGATGTAATTAACTACGAGGGCTTATGCTCATAGGAGATTTAAAACTCACATCCACCTTTTTAAAAAAATCAATTTTCAGAACTCAAAATTAATATTCTTTGAGAAAATCAAGTCGATAATGATCATAATCGTCATGTTTCATCGATCAATATTAAGTGATATTTTCTCTCATCGGAGAAACATATCATTTGTTATTGAGATATGTAATATGAAATTAATAATCTCCCATCCGGATTATAGTAGTTAAATATTGATAGAATCTTATTTTGAGCCTTTAGGATTGTATGCAATTCTTATTTGAATCCAATTATTACAATTAGGATGACAACTTTTAATTTCATCATCTGAACTTGTTAGTAAACGATATTTTTGCCTTAAGGGGCAATGTATTAGTAGTGAGAGAAAGTAGTGAGAGAAACTCTAAGAAAATGGTTTGAATTTTCACGGGAATTCAAATTTTTCTCGTCACGGGAGTTGCAGAAATCACATGGCTGCGGATGCTCGCTGGCAATAACCTACCAGTGGGACCCTGGAGGATTGTCGTCTTATTCAGAAGGCTTTGAATGTCTCATCCCGTCCAATGCTCTCGTCGCTGGCATTCGGTGATGAAATAACTACAGTCAATCTGATGGCTAAATCTAAAGGTAATAAAGGAATTGTCATTAAACAAGGATGCTTCATAGCTAGAAGAGAACCATAGGTGATTGGGAAAGGAAAGAGCATTATGGTTGAAGAAAATGTCAAGAAGGTTTTCAAAGGTTATTTTGCATCTCCGTCTTTTAAATATATTATTGATAAAGGTACCTCATTGATTGGAAATGTAGATGGCATGGAAAAGAAGACGCTTGATCTGAGTTTAATGGGAATTTCTAGCCTAACAAATACAGGTATCCTAGGAGAAAATGATAATGCAGTGAAACAGTAGAAGAATGCTGAACTAGCTAAAATATTATTATCTGACTTGGTGAAAGATAGGAATGTTGAATCAGCTGACAAGGGAGATTGTGGAGAGGATGTGTCAAGCCCTATTAGAAATTGTGATGGAGAGCAAATAAATGCGTTGAGGAAAAAAGAGAACATTAAAGTTTCAGATTTACAACTGGGTAACTTCCTAGCTGAATATGGAGTAAATATGAAATTGCATGAGCAAAATGAAAAGGAGAATGCAGAAAAGCTTAGCAACTTAGTTGTCATAAAGGTGTTTGGAGGATATCCCCCATTACGGGTCATAAGCTCAGAACTCAGGAGACAATGGATGCAATTTGGGAAGTTTCACCTAACCATATTAGGCATGGGATGGGTGCTTTGCTCATTTTATGAATCAGAATAAATGGAAGCTGTTATGACTAATGGACCATGGTTTGTTATTGGGAAGATAATTGGGATGGACAAATGGTTGGAAAACCTTTTCTCCTAACTCTTCAAACCTTTTCTTCTAACTCTCTAAAAGGCGTGACAGCTCCGATTTGGATCAGGCTTCCAAATCTACCTCTTCATTGTTGGGATAATATTAATATTTGTAGAATTGCCTCAATAGTTGGAAAACCATATTTGATTGATGGAAACATGTTCTAATGGGGAAGAAGAGAATTCGAAAGGGTATGTGTCTGGATCAAGCTGGACAACAAGCTTCCTTTAGGTGTTTGGATTGAAGGCAAAGCTGGGAGATTCTACCAAAAGATAGAATATGAACGGGTCCCAAATTTCTGTTTTAACTGTGGACTTATCGGCCACAATAAAGAAAGCTGTAAGAAGGTGATGGAGATAATAAAATTTATGAGAAGATGTCTGGTTCTGGTACTAATAATGCTGGGAAAATTATTCAGGCTAAAAACAGAGAAGTTGGCTCTGTTGAAGGGACTGGCTATGGACCTTGGCTTATAGTTAACCGAGGCAAGAAGAGATTCAATAATCAAAATCAATCTCAGAATCGTTCTCTTCAGAATATGAACATGACTTTGTGGAAAAGGAAAGAATCTAGAAGAACTATTGTAGAAGTTGCAAAGGAAGACAGAGAAGTTGTTCTAGTTAAGAAGATTGAAGGAGTAGCAGCTAATGTTCTAGTTTTCAATTTTACAGAATCGGTAGAAAAAGGTATTAAACAATCAGAGTTTAATACTTATTCTGGATCTACTAATCCAGGTAGTGAGAATATTCTGATCCCAACAACTGGAAACAAAATTCAGTATATTGAGCAGTCATGCTGAAGAAGGGGATATAGTTCAAGAAATCATAGAAGACAATCCAGTAATGAAAGAACCTCCAGAAATGATCAGAACTGAGCCTAGTAGTATTAAAAATCCTATGGGGCATCATATAGAAGATGAATCCAATATGGTGAAGAAGAAAAAACCTAAGCAATTAAAGGATTTGGGTCGTATCAGTTCAAATCTGAGGAGTAGAAGAATGGAATTGGAAGCAAACGGTACTTTGGGGATTCAATCCCCTATCACTCATTAATGTATTCATTAGCTTTTTGGAATTATAGAGGAGCAAAAAAGAGGAGTGCTTCTCTATTCCTTAAAGAATATGTGAGATTACATAATGTGATTTTTGTGGGTTTGCTAGAGACTAAATTGTCTTCCTTTGAAATGAAAGAAGTTAAAACTCTTATTGGAGATGGATGAAACTATGTTATGGTGCCCTCAAAGTGGACTATCAGGTGGTATTATTGCTTTATGGAATGCTAATGTGGCTGATTTCTCATTGGTTGATTCTTCTAACCAATGTATAGTTGGAGACCTCTCGGTTAACAACAATTGTAAATGAAGGGTGGCTACTGTTTATGCCAACAAGGAATGCTGTAAAGGGAGGGAACTTTGGGAGTTTCTGGGAATTCATTCTCTATTGAATTCCCCATAGTGGTTGCTGGAGACTTCAACTGTCTCACTTCTAGGGAAGACAAGAAAGGAGGGAAAAAGTTTCAATGCATCTAAGGTTCTAAGGAAATGGAGGCTTTCTTTACCAATAATGATTACCATGAGGTAAGATTCATTGGACCTCGGTTCACTTGGTGTAACAATAAAGTTGGGGGAGATAGGATCTTGGAAAGGCTGGACAGGTGCTTCCTTAACTCCTTTGCATTAAATTTATCTTCTCAATTGGTTGTCAAGCACTTAGCGAGAGTATATTTCAATCATTGTCCTATTTTCCTCAATATCATCAATTTGAAATCACCAAGCGTGAAAATCATTAAGTTTGAGGATGTGTGGGTATCCTACCCGGCTGCTCTCACGGTGGTCAAGAAAGCTTGGGCTACCAATTATCAGGGTAGTCAAGCTCATATCCTGAACTCTAAATTCAAAAGAACTCTTAGATCTCTTTTCTTTTGGAGCAAAGCTAAGATGAAAAACCTGAACTTGTCTAAAGACAAACTGATGGAAGATATATTGGAGTTGCAAATCAAAGAATCTGAGATTGGTTGGCTCAATGATGAAGAATAATGGACTTTAAAAGCCAAGGTGTTGGAACCAAATTCAACAATGGCTAGATTGAACATATGGTGGAGACAAAGAGCTAAAGTCAAGTGGATGGTTGATGGAGATTACAATTCTAATTTTTTTCATTCCTATGCTAGTGCTAGAAGAAGATTGAACAACATTGTGAAGATTAAGGATGAAGAAGGGAATGTCCTGGAAGAACAAAATCAAATTCAAGATACTCTTATTCGGTTTTTCAAGCAAAAGTGGAGGCAAAGGGATTGCACCTTGGAAGGATGGCCAAAGCCGGTTTTTGTTTAATTGGGATGACAAATCATGGCTTGCAAGGGATTTCTCGGTGGAAGAGGTTGAGGAATTTATTAAACAGTTGGGAGAAAATATAGCACCTGGAAGTGATGGAATCTCATACTCTTTCTTAAAAGCTTATTGGGGCATTATAAAAATTGATTTTGTTAATGCAAACAGTTTTTTTCTTCAAAATGGGGAGATGGACAAGAATTGGAAGGATACCTTGATAGTGTTAATCCCTAAAGTGTCAAATCCCTTGATTTCTTCCAACTTTAGGCCTATCAGTTTATGTAACTCAGTCTACAAAGTGGCGGCTAAAGTTATTTTAAATAAGCTTGCCTTGGTTATTCCCAAACTCATATCAGAAGAACAGGCGGCTTTTATCAAGGGGAGATCTATTTCAGATCATGTATTGGTTGCTCAAGAGGTGTTCCACAAGTTCAAGTACTCAAAATCTTCTAAAGGACTAGCTACTTATAAAATTGATATGGAACAGGCATATGACTCTATGAGTTGGAATACTCTTGAAGGAGTCTTGAAATACTTTGATTTCCCTCCATTGTTCTCCAAATTGATATTGGAATGTGTGTTAGAGCCTATGTTCTCAGTAATAATCAATGGTAACCTATCGGATTGGATTATAGCCAAAAGCGGTTTCCGGCAAGGTTGCCCATTGTCAGCTTTTCTCTTCATATTGTGCCCTCAACTCCTCACTAATACCCTTGCCTTAACTTCTATTGGAGTTAATATTTCTCCTTATGGACCTCGGATATCACATCTTCTGTACGCAGATGACGTGATGCTATTTTTAGAAGCTAACAAGAAAGTTTCTTTGGAGTTAAAAGATATCTTATCCAAATTCAGCAAATGGACCGGCCAGTGTATTAACATTGGTAAATCTGCCATTCTTTTTGGAAAGATGGTTAATAGAAGGAGAAGGAGGTCCATTACAAGAATTTTAGGTATCAAGGAAGTGAAGGAATTTTTGTATCTTGGTATCAAGATGACTTTAAGAAGATTGAAGGCTAATGATTTTCAGTTCATCATTGAAAAATCATTTAAGAAAATCAACACTTGGGGAAGTAAACTCATTTCCTTGGCTGGTAAAATAGCTCTAGTTAAATCGGTCTCTTTGGCCATCCCAAATTTATACAACACACATTCCTTGGTTCCAATCCGTGTTCTTGAAGACATCAACAAATTATGCAGGTGTTTTATATGGAATAAGCCTAATGGTAAAGTTGGCATTCACTATGTTAGCTGGGAGGAATTATGTAAACCAGTAGATAGAGGAGGCCGGGGACTGTGCTCATCTACTTCTAAGGTGGCTGAGCTGAGAGTAAGACTAACATGGAGATTTTTTAATAATAGAAACTCTCTTTTATTCAAAATGCTGGCTCCAAAGTATGGATCCAAGGTTGTAGAAGATAATATGAAGAGGTGTGTATCTTACTCATGGAAAATTATCACTGATGGAGGTAAAGTTTTACAACCATTCTTAAAATGGAGTGTGGCTAATGGATCATCAATTAATGCTTTTGAAGACAAGTGGCTATTGGATAAGAGCATCAACAAATGACCTACATTTGTTGTACCTCAAGGTGAAGAACCGGTTAAGTTGGACAGGTTCATTGAAGAAAAGGAATGGAATGTGGCTGAATTACTGAATATGTTTGGTAGTGAAATGGTGGAGCTTATTTCACACACCAAAATTATGTGTGATCAACGGGAGGATAAGCAGGAGTTGATATTCAACAGATCAGGGAGAACAATATCAGGGATGATTGCTGAGGCTATGCAGCAAGATCAGCCTGAAAGCAAATTTGCAAAATGGTTGAAAAAAGCTAAACTAGTGCCACGGGTGGAAACTTTCTGTTGGAGGTTATTCAAGGAAGCTATACCAACTTACCAGTTTCTAGCACATAGAAGATTGCAAGAAGTTGAAGTCTGTCCAAGGTGTTTGGATGGCATTGAAGACATGGAACATGTTCTATTCAAATGTGCCAAGATAAAGGAGGTTTTGTCTCAACTCAACAAATGGGGATTCCGGATTCCTTTGTTTGAAAGCTTTCAAGATTGTTGTAGATGGATGGATCAAATGACAACTCATAATGGTATGCTTCTTAATTTGTTTTTCAATGTCTTGTATCTCCCATGGAAGGCTGGAAACATGTTTACACATGATAAAGTGGTAGAAGGTGCAATCTCGGTGGTTGCAAGTGCGGTCAGCTTTTTATCTACTTTTAAATTGATTGTTAACTCAAAATCGGAACTATGGGATGCTAACCAGCCCCTTAGGTTGTCTAATACTTGGTATCCCCCTCCACCCGATTGGTTAAAAATCAATGTAGATGCTTCACTTGACTCCTCTTATAGAGCTGGCATGGGATGTGTTATACGTGATAGCAAAGGGAGGTTCTTAATGGCTTTTGGTAAAAAATGCATTCATTGGGGCGTTTACTATTTGGAGATTCTAGCTATAAAGTCTTTGAAAGAAATGACTAAAGATTGGATGTTCAAATACAAGGGAGCAATTATTGAAGGTGACAATGCAAATGCAATAAGAAGGCTTCATAAGGCAAGGATTGATGACTTCAAGGGAGAAGAAGACTTTAATTTCTTTAAAGAGTTTAATTATCTCATTTTCTCTTGTGTTGATAGAGGTAGTAATAAGCTAGTAGATATGTGTGCTAAGTATGCGATGGTTAGCAACTTCATTTGGGAAGGTCTGTGCTTGAATGAGATTCCTCCTTCATTTGTGAATTTATTGAAGGAGGAATCAACATTTTAGTTGTTTATTTTTCTTTTCCGTTGCTATTAATGCATTTATTTCTCTTTAAAAAAAAAAAAAAGTTCACTTCTATACATATTATCTCTATCATTAGAGACTTGTTTCTTAGCTCTACCAAGTTAGAATTATTAGGGAATGTGTCATGAAGTAATATTATTGTAATATATTTTCTATAAAATTAAATATTTAAAGGAAAATTTATCATGTACAAATATTTTTTGTTATCATATTTAGTCCATAATTATTTATGTAATCATAATTAATTATATAAATATATACAAGAGGATTGAATAATGGATAATAATTTAAACAAGTCTATAATTATTAATAATAGTTGGAATCTATAACTAAATATTTTTAGTATGGCCCATAAATATTAAGAATGGAAGAGTTTTATCTGAATTATTCGATATGAAGATATTAAGAGTCGAGGTACTTTATATGATATAATTATATAGGATTGGACGACATAATTTTTTAATTTTCTAAAAAATTTTGTCTTAAATAGATAAATTTTAAAATTCACTATAAAGATGATCATATATAAATGAATCTTAATAATGAGTTATTAATAAGTAGCAATTTGTAATATTTTATTTATTGACTTACTTGAAAATAGTTTGGAAGTTGATATAAACTCAGTCCTTATATCTTAGAAACACAATGAAAAAAATGACAGAGAATGTTAATATTCAAATGTAATCCATTCCTTTCAATTTTAAATGTAAAAAAAATTGTTCCCTTGAATAATTAATTCAAACATCGAATAATAGAGAGTTCAAAATTTGATTAGGTCAGAAAGTTTATTGTTCATTAGAAAATTAAAAGAAATTTAAAGCTAAAGATATAGTTAGAGCGGTGACAAAATTACATAGCACTAATTATGAATTTCTATGGAGGATTATTTTATATGTAATGGTTAAATCAATGGATGATTCAATATTTTAAATTAAGTAATTTATATTATAAATTCATCAGGTGGTATTATTGCTTTATGGAATGCTAATGTGGCTGATTTCTCATTGGTTGATTCTTCTAACCAATGTATAGTTGGAGACCTCTCAGTTAACAACAATTGTAAATGGAGGGTGGCTGCTGTTTATGCCAACAAGGAATGCTATAAAGGGAGGGAACTTTGGGAGTTTCTGGGAATTCATTCTTATATTGAATTCCCCATGGTGGTTGCTGGAGACTTCAACTGTCTCACTTCTAGGGAAGATAAGAAAGGAGGGAAAAAGTTTCAATGCACCCAAGGTTCTAAGGAAATGGAGGCTTTCTTTACCAACAATGATTACTATTAGGTAAGATTCATTGGACCTCGGTTCACTTGGTGTAACAACAAAGTTGGAGGAGCTCGGATCTTGGAAAGGTTGGACAGGTGCTTCCTTAACTCCTTTGCATTAAATTTATCTTCTCAGTTGGTTGTCAAGAACTTAGAGAGAGTAGCTTTCGATCATTGTCCTATTATCCTCAATATCCTCAATTTGAAATCACCAAGCATGAAAACCATTAAGTTTGAGGATGTGTGGTTATCCTACCCGGCTGCTCTCACGGTGGTCAAGAAAGCTTGGGCTACCAATTATTAGGGTAGTCAAGCTCATATCCTAAATTCTAAATTCAAAAGAACTCTTAGATCTCTTTTCTTTTGGAGCAAAGCTAAGATGAAAAACCTGAACTTATCTAAAGACAAAATGATGGAAGATATATTGGAGTTGCAAATCAAATAATCTGAGATTGGTTGGCTTAATGATGAAGAATGATGGACTTTAAAAGCCAAGGTGTTGGAACTGAATTCAACAATGGCTAGATTGAACATATGGTGGAGACAAAGAGCTAAAGTCAAGTGGATAGTTGATGGAGATTACAATTCTAAAATTTTTCATTCTTATGCTAGTGCTAGAAGAAGACTGAACAACATTGTGAAGATTAAGGATGAAGAAGGGAATGTCCTGGAAGAACAAAATCAAATTCAAGATACTCTTATTCGGTTCTTCAAGCAAAAGTGGAGGCAAAGGGATTGCACCTTGGAAGGATGGCCAAAGCCGGTTATTATTTTAAATTGGGATGACAAATCATGGCTTTCAAGGGATTTCTCAGTGGAAGAGGTTGAGGAAGTTATTAAATAGTTTGGAGGAAATATAGCACCTGGAAGTGATGGAATCTCATACTCTTTCTTAAAAGCTTATTGGGGCATTATAAAAATTGATTTTGTTAATGCAATCAGTTTTTTCTTCAAAATGGGGAGATGGACAAGAATTGGAAGGATACCTTGATAATGTTAATCCCTAAAGTGTCAAATCCCTTGATTCCTTCCAACTTTAGGCCTATCAGTTTGTGTAACTCAGTCTACAAAGTGGCGGCTAAAGTTATTTTAAATAGGCTTGCCTTAGTTATTCCCAAACTCATATCAGAAGAACAGGCAGCTTTCATCAAGGGGAGATCTATTTCAGATCATGTATTGGTTGCTCAAGAGGTGTTCCACAAGTTCAGGTACTCAAAAATCTTCTAAAGGACTAGCTGCTTATAAAATTGATATGGAACATGCATATGACTCTGTGAGTTGGAATACTCTTGAAGGAGACTTGAAATACTTTGTTTTCCCTCCATTGTTCTCCAAACTGATATTGGAATGTGTGTTAGAGCCGAGGTTCTCAGTAATAATCAATGGTAACCCATCGGATTGGATTATAGCCAAAAGCGGTTTTCGGCAAGGTTGCCCATTGTCACCTTTTCTCTTCATATTGTGCTCTCAACTCCTCACTAATACTCTTGCCTTAACTTCTATTGGAGTTAATATTTCTCCTTATGGACCTCGGATATCACATCTTCTGTACGCAGCTGACGTGATGCTATTTTCAGAAGCTAACAAGAAAGTTGCTTTGGAGTTAAAAGATATCTTATCCAAATTCAGCAAATGGACCGGCCAGTGTATTAACATTGGTAAATCTACCATTCTTTTTGGAAAGATGGTTAATAGAAGGAGAAGGAGGTCCATTACAAGAATTTTAGGTATCAAGGAAGTGAAGGAATTTTTGTATCATGGTATCAAGATGACTTTAAGAAGATTGAAGGCTAATGATTTACAGTTCATCATTGAAAAATCATTTAAGAAAATTAACACTTGGGGAAGTAAACTCATTTCCTTGGCTAGTAAAATAGCTCTAGTTAAATCGGTCTCTTTGGCCATCCCAAATTTATATAACACACATTCCTTGGTTCCAATCCATGTTCTTGAAGACATCAACAAATTACGCAGGTGTTTTATCTGGAATAAGCCCGATGGTAAAGTTGGCATTCACTATGTTAGCAGGGAGGAATTATGTAAACTGGTAGATAGAGGAGGCCGGGGACTGTGCTCATCTACTTCTAAGGTGGCTGAGCTAAGAGCAAGACTAACATGGAGATTTTTGAATAACAGAAACTCTCTTTTATTCAAAATGCTGGCTCCAAAGTATGGATCCAAGGTTGTATAAGATAATATGAAGAGGTGTGTATCTTCCTCATGGAAAATTATCACTAATGAAGGTAAAGTTTTACAGCCATTCTTAAAATGGAGTGTGGCTAATGGATCATCAATTAATGCTTTTGAAGACAAGTGGCTATTGGATAAGAGCATCAACAAATGGCCTACATTTGTTGTACCTCAAGGTGAAGAACCGGTTAAGTTGGACAAGTTCATTAAAGAAAAGGAATGGAATGTGGCTGAATTGTTGAATATGTTTCGTAGTGAAAGGGTGGAGCTTATTTCACACACCAAAATTATGTGTTATCAATGGGAGGATAAGTAGGAGTTGATATTCAACAGATCAGGGAGAACAGTATTAGGGATGATTACTGAGGCTAGGCAGCAAGATTAGCCTGAATGCAAATTTGCAAAATGGTTGAAAAAAGCTAAACTAGTGCCACGGGTGGAAACTTTCTGCTAGAGGTTATTCAAGGAAGCTATACCAACTTACAAGTTTCTAGCACATAGAAGATTGCAAGAAGTTGAAGTCTGTCCAAGGTGTTTGGATGGCATTGAAGACATGGAACGCGTTCTATTCAAATGTGCCAAGATAAAGGAGGTTTTGTCTCAACTCAACAAATGGGGATTCCGGATTCCTTTGTTTGAAATCTTTCAAGATTGCTGTAGATGGATGGATCATACGGCAACTCATAATGGTATGCTTCTTAAATTGTTTTGCAATGCTTGTATCTTTCTTGGAATGCTAGAAACAAGTTTACACATGATAAGGTGGTAGAAGGTGCAATCTCGGTGGCTGCTAATACGGTCAGCTTTTTATCTACTTCTAAATTGATTGTTAACTCGAAATCGGAGCTATGGGATGCTAACCATCCCCTTAGGCTGTCCAATACTTGGTATCCCCCTCCACCCGATTGGTTAAAAATCAATGTAGATGCTTCACTTGACTCTTCATATAGAGCTGGCATTGGATGTGTTATACGTGTCAGCAAAGGGAGGTTCTTAATGGTTTTTGGTAAAAAATGCATTCATTGAGACGTGTACTATTTGGAGCTTCTAGCTATAAAGTCTTTGAAAGAAATGACTAAAGATTGGATGTTCAAATACAAGGGAGCAATTATCGAAGGTGACAATGCAAATGTAATAAGAAGGCTACATACGGCAAGGATTGATGACATCAAGGGAGAAGAAGATTTTAATTTCTTTAAAGAGTTTAATTATGTCATTTTCTCTTGTGTTGATAGAGGTAGTAACAAGCTAGCCGATATGTGTGCTAAGTATGCAATGGCTAACAACTTCATTTGGGAAGATCTATGCTTGAAAGAGATTCCTCCTTCATTTGTGAATTTATTGAAGGAGGAATCAACATTGTAGCTGTTTCTTTTTCTTTTCCGTTGCTATTAATGCATTTATTGCTCTTTAAAAAAAAGGGGCAATGTATTGTTTATATTGAGATGTTCGATTTTGAGACTATAGATTCAATATTAAATTTCCCAAATAAGATTAAATCTTTTCAAAACCCGCTTTCAAACTTCCACAACAGTAATCCTATGTACTTTTCCATTAAAGAAAATTAAAATTTAACTAAACATATCCATATATGTTATATGTTTATCTTCATCATACACTTGCAACATCATTAGCCATACATACCATGCATTTAGAAAGCCTAAGTGTTTGTTTATTAGTATTTCTCAAAGTTGATTGTATTTTCCTGTATGCTCTAGTTAATTATGTCTAGTCATATGTGGTGGAATTCACTTATTATATACTTGCATATACATGCACATACTTGACATCTTTCTCTTATCTTTTCGATATTATATTTATGCATGTGGCTATGTAATAGGATATATTTAGAAGTATAATTTTATTCTATTACTACCAACATATGTTTTATAAGAGACTCTTTAATAGTAGGCCTTAAGAGGATATTTGATCAGAATTTAAACACCTTTTACCGCATGCCATTACTACTCTATAGATGTTTATTACTGCTCATCATGATTGCTTTATGTTATTTTGATTGGTACACTTAAGTCACTTAATTATGACTTGGATATTAAACTTACATTTACACATTGCTCACATGTAGGTTAGATGTATTTAAAATGAGAACACACGTGGCATATATTTCTAGCAATGACAATGTTTAGGCATTATGTTCATCATGATGGATACAAAAAAGCGGCAAGCCAACTTCTAGCATTATTAATGCATACATCATATGATGACCCTTTGAGTCAGCATCTAATTAAGAATTCATTTTAAGATGGATAAACTAGACCTATACACTTCAAACACATGCTTATCCCCCAACTAGCCAACTGTAGTGAGTAGCTACCATTCTCTCCTTTCTTAGTTTGACCAACCTAAATTTCACAAGTAATTAGGCAGGTTAGTGGCATTTTTTAACAAACTATGATATAAGTCTGCATAATGGGCATCATAATAATAATTAATATAATCATGTTATAATTCTGATCCTCATGTCTCTTCTATGTTATAAGAGATTCCCAACCTATAGGGTCTAAATACTCTTTTATTAGGTGTCTCCCTCCATTCATTCGAGAGTATTAACCTCATATATTAGACTAGGACTTGTTCCCCTTGCACCTCCAAGTTGATGAGGCCTTCTCGAATGAAACAACTCATGATTAGTAATAGGGATTCTCATGGTTAAAGGTTTGATCATCTTCTCTACATAAGTGGACTAAGAGTCGTAATGAATATGATAATAGACAATCATGTGATCTTGACCAAGGTTATCCTTTAAAATGGTAGTTTAGTCTTCCTTTTTTTTTTTTTTTGATAGACCTTTATCGCCTTAGAGTTATA